GAACTAGTGTACTAATTTTCCATTCAAAAACCAAACTGATCATGTCCCCTGCCTGTTTCCATAGTTCCTAATGTCTCCGTGTGTGTGTGTGTGTGTGTGTGAATTTGAGTGATTTCTTTACAGTCGCTGTCATGACACCCTCTCCCTCCCTGCCTGTCTCAATTTTGGTTTGAATATTTATGCAATCATACTTTTGTGATTTCTTCTGTTGTTTCAAAAGAGAGGAAATTATGCCTCTATACTTTCTTCTAATTAATTTATAATTTGATGAAATGCTCAAGTACTAGAAAAAAGTCTTGAGCTACAGCTTGATTGTTTGGTTATTGATTTCGTTCTTTATTCTGCATTTTTTGGCGGGGTTCTATTCATAGGCAGAATAATATTCTTCTCCCTGTTACTCATGAATTGAATTTTACTTGATTCCCTGTTCCTTGTCTATCACTTTCCCTCCAATTCTTGCCAATTTCTTCCTCATTTTTTGGTATGTGTTCCATAAAATTTCATCACATTTCTGCTGCAACTTACTGCTTTCTGAATGATTTTAATTGTTCTGTTGGAGTTGGTTATCTTGCAGTTGCACATTTGCTGGAAGGATTTACATTGTAGAGGTATTGTGAAGGTTAAGAAAGAATCTAGACAAAATGGAAGGTGAAATTAGGTGGTAAATTGTATTCTTGAAAAGGACTGAGAGTTAAGACTCCAACTTAAACACTTTTCTTTGAGTCTTATTTAACAAAGACTTTTTTCTCCCATCGTGAAATACTGTATAACTTAACATTGGATTTAATATTATTAACTAAAATATTTAAACAAAGTAGCAAACACTTAAAAAAAATTCAAACTAGTGAGGAACCACTTCATCCCTTGTTCTACCCTCTTGACTGCAGGGTGTGGGATGGGGCAGAAGAGCTGGTCACTCATTGTCTTGGGTAGCCTGGTGGGGATAAAATGTTGAATTGTTGAAAACCTCTGGACCTGATGATCTGTAAGGAAGGTTCTGTTTAGTTCTAAAATGTTGTGCTTTTTATTGTTAAATAGTCAAGAGCACCTATTCAGTGAGCAGCAAGCAATGAGTCTTTTCTTTCTTTGAGAAAAATAATTTCACTATCTTAGAGCTCCCCTGCTTGAAGACCCGCAGTGCTTCTTGATCTTTGGGGGTCTTTAAAGGATGGTCAGCTCCATCGCAAATCCCATATCAAGCAGGAAAGCCTATTTATATTTAGATTGGAATAATGAGAAAAATTCTTTGTTTAAAGTAATGTTTTAGATACAAGAAATTTAAAATATCAGTGTTGAGTTTTCAAATGGGAAATAGTAAAAAATATTGTATTCATCCACTAGGGCTGCCGTGCCAACAGATGGCAGACTGAATGGCTTTAACAACAGAAATGTGTTTCCTCATGGTCTGGAGGCCAAAGTCTGAGATCCAGGTTTCAGCAGGCTTGATCTCTTTGGAGGCCTCTCTCCCTCGCTTGCAGATGGCTGCCTTCTCCCTCTGTCCTCACATGGGCTCCTGTGTGTCCCCCTGCTATCTCTGTGTGTCCTCATTTCCTCTTATGGGGACCCCAGTCAGGTTGGATCAGGGCCCACCTGCACTGTCTCATTTTAGCTCTGTCGCCCCTTTAAAGGCCTTGTGTCCAAATGCTCTCACATTCTGAGGTACAACAGGTTAGGGCTTCAAGGTGAATTTTGAAGGAGACACAATTCAGCCCATAACAAGTATAAATTACTAAGAAGGGATTTCTTGGTATCATTACACTTGATTTTTCAGCTGGTCGTTATCAAGATTGCCAGGGAAAGCTCTCTGATATTGGTCTTACAAACTATGTTCTAATTTAGAAGAGAAGGTTTTCTTCCTGGAAAGATAAAACCCTAAATCGCTTATTTAAAAATTAAAATATATATATATATTTTTGTAAAGTAATACATAGGTATGTTAAAAAAGAGTGTTAAGAGGTATATTCATAAAACAGAATTCCCTACTCCCCACTTTCAACTCTTAGCTGTTTCTTCTTGTATTTGTTTCTGTGGTTTATTTTTTAAACCTCCACGTTTCTAATTGATGTATGCATGTGTACAGTCTATCTTGTAATTCTTGTTGACAGAGTGTTTTTGTTGACTCCCTGTTATGGTACATGAGGATTTTAGTTCTCTTGTACCTTTTCCTCTACACCCTTATTCTCCTAATATAACTATATCATACTTGAAAAGCCTTCATCTTTGGCATTTTCATCATTGTGACTGTAAAAACTATTTGCTGAGCCAATACTATGGCTATATTTTCTTATAGAACTTTTCATTTTTCCTGTAGTTAGTAAATTATTTCATTTTTTCATTTGCTTAGGTTTATTTGAAACTAAGGGTAAATTTCCCACATCTTCAAATGCCTTTGTAAAATATCTCTCAATACAGTGTTCCATACTTTCAATCTGTAAGATAATTTGTCCTTTTTCATCCCCTGGGAATAACTATCTTGGATCCTCTGTTGCATTTCTCTCTGGATTTGTTGCCTTCCAGCCCCCTACACATCTGTTACCTAGGACTTTGCTTCATTACCATATTGCAGATTCTCTTAGTTTTTCTCCTATGTTAGAGATCCCTCTTTTACTGGATAACATCTTTTTTGGTTTCCTTCCAGATTTGGTGATTATATATTCTCCAGTAGATTCTTGAGAAAGGGTGAATAGAAGCTAAATTTTTGGAGACTTTGCCTCTATAAGAATGTCTAAATTCTTCTATCATCGTTGGTTATCTGGGCATAGTATTCAGAATTGAAAGATAATCACTTAAATTTGTTTTTCTAATTTTGAAAAGTAGAAACTACATGCTCACGAACCAAAATGTAAAAGGTTCCAGGGGTTATGGATGGGGACATGCATCTGCAGTGTGGGGGAGCTGCTTGGGATGATGGAACTGTTTCATGGCTGATTATAGTGCTGGTTACACCAGTTTCTACATGTGTTAAAATCCAGTTTCTACATGTGTTAAAATTCGTAGACCTGAACACCAAAATAAAAAGCTTCAATTCGAATGTATGGTAGTTTTAAAAATGAAAAATAAGTTAAAAGAATTTACAAATAGATGACATAAAGAGATGGAAAGACATTCCATGCACATGGATTGGAAGAATAAACATAGTTAAAATGTCCATACTACCTAAAGCAATCTACAGATTAAACACTATCCCAATCAGAATTCCAGTGTCATTCTTTACAGAAATTGAACAAAGAATCCGAAAATTCATATGGGGCAAGAAAAGACCCTGAATTGCTAAAGCAATCCTGAGAAAGAACAACAAAGCTGGAGGCATCACAATCCCTGACTTCAAAACATACTACAAAGCTACACTGATCAAAACAGCATGGTACTGGTACAAAAGCAATGCACAGATCAATGGAACAGAATTGAAAGCCCAGAGATAAAACCACACATCTGTGGACAGCTTATCTTCGACAAAGGAGCTGAGGGCCTACAATGGAGGAAAGAAAGTCTCTCCAACAAATGGTGCTGGGAAAACTGGACAGCCACATGTAAAAGAATGAAAATCAACCATTCTTTTTCACCATTTACTAAAATAAACTCAAAATGGATCCAAGACCTAAAGATTAGACATGAAACAATAAGTCTTCTAGAAGAGAATATCAGCAGTACACTGTCTGACATCAGCTCCAAAAGAATCTTTTCAGACACCATAACCCCTCACATGAGGGAAACAATAGAAAGAATAAACAAATGGGACTTCATCAGGCTAAAGAGCTTCTTCAAGGCAAGGGAAAACAGGATTGAAACAGAAAAACAACCCACTAATTGGGAAAAAATATTCACAAGTTATTTATCCGACAAAGGGTTAATCTCCATAATAAACAAAGAACTCACACAGCTCAACAATAAAAAATCAAACAACCCAATTACAAAATGGGCAGGGGACATGAACAGACATTTCTCCAAAGAAGATATACGAATGGCCAATAGACTCATGAAAAGATGCTCATCATCACTAATCATCAGGGAAATGCAAATCGAAACTACACTAAGATATCACCTTACACCTGTTAGAATGGCAAAAATATCCAAAACCAAGAGTGACAAATGTTGGAGAGGCTGTGGAGAACAGGGAACCCTCATACACTGTTGGTGGGAATGCAAACTGGTGCAGCCACTATGGAAAACAGTATGGAGATTCCTCAAAAAGTTAAGAATAGAAATACCTTATGACCCAGCCATCCCACTACTGGGTATCTATCCTAAGAAGCTGAAATGGGCAATTCCAAAAGTTCCATGCACCCCTATGTTCATCGCAGCATTATTCACAATAGCCAAGTTATGGAACCAACCTAAGTGCCCAGCAACTGATGATTGGATAAAGAAGATGTGGTATATATATACAATGGAATACTACTCAGCCATAAAAAAGGACAAAGTCATCCCATTCACAACAGCATGGATAGACCTTGAGGGTATTATGTTGAGTGAAATAAGCCAGACAGAGAAAGACGAACTCTGTATGACTCCACTCATAGGTGGTAGTTAACATATGGACAAAGAGAACTGATCAGTGGTTGCCAGGGGAAAGGGGGGTGGGGTGAGGGCACTAGGGGTGAAGTGGTGTACCTACAACATGACTAATAATGATGTACAACTGTAATTTCACAAGGATGTTAATTTTCATAACCTTAATAAAAAAAAAGTTCATAACTAATAAAAAAAAAGAATTACAAATACAAAAATGTATACAGCAAAAATGAAGTCTCTTTTCTTTCTCCCTCCTCTTGGCTTCCAGCTTACCTTTCTGGAAGCAACTGTTATCACTTTCATATGTTGTTTCCCACTTAATTACTCTTAAACATGTACACATTCATGGGTCAATCAGGCAAAATTAAAAGGAACTTAAATTTGCTCAAGTATTTTTTGAGAATGCTAAGATTACTACTCTTAGAATACCTCTAAATATGTTATTAATGAAGGCTGGCTCTAACTTATTAAAATTATTTCTCCTACAGTTGGCAAACATGAATTGACTGGGCATAAAGTTGCTGTGAAGATACTCAATCGCCAGAAGATTCGAAGCCTCGATGTGGTTGGAAAAATCCGCAGAGAAATTCAGAACCTCAAGCTTTTCAGGCATCCTCATATAATTAAACTGTAAGATCTGATTGTATTAAATATAGTCATAGAATTTTTGCATCATTTTTGTTAACCTACTTAATCCAACAAGCAAGAAAGATGACTGACATTTCCTCGGTCTATTCCCTGAGGGTTTTAAAACTTCTTCCCATTCATGTATTTATCTAACCCCATTCATGGTCACTTAAGCCTGTGTTCGTGTTTTGCTTATCAGCTGTTATCTTTCTCATTCTTTCTTGTCTTCTGGACAATGCCCTTCTGATATCTTCAGTGCCCCTATTGCTGTAGGACGTATGATGATTTGCTAGTAAAAACTCTTGACCTCTGCATTTCCCTGTGGTGTCAGTTAGCTCACTAGAGACGGTGCAGTAGAAAGCGTTCTCCCCAGTGCTGTTTATATCTGATGAAACAAATGACAAATACTAGAATTTCAGGAATCCAGTATTTCAAAAGGGCAGTAATATTACCATTGTTTTACAGTTGCCAAGTGTAGGGTCTACAGATAACTTAGTTACTGCTCAGCTTTCCTTTTTTTTTATTTTCTGATTAGCCCTAAGCTAACATGTGTTGCCAGTCCTCCTCTTTTTGCTGAGGAAGACTGGCCCTGAGCTAACATCCATGCCCATCTTCCTCTACTTTACATGTGGGACGCCTACCACAGCATGGCATGCCAAGCAGTGCCATGTCTGTACCCGGGATCCGAACCAGCGAACCCTGGGCCACCAAAGCGGAACGTGTGCACTTAACTGCTGCGCCACCAGGCCAGCCCCTACTCAGCTTTTTTATGCAGGCTATAAGTTAAAACTGCTTAGGCTTTTCTGCTGAACTGGCTGACTCACGCTTTATTTCACTCTCACCTCTTCTCATTGGTTGAGGTGCCGTGGTTTTAAATACCATCCATATGCTGATAACCCCTAAATATACATCTCCTGCTTTGAAACCTCAGCCCTGGACTCCAGCCTCGTATGCTCACTGCCTGCATCTCCATTTGGATGTCCAGGAGGCCTGCAAAACTCGACGTGCCCAAAACTGAACTGTGTATTACCCTCCAAACCTGCTCTTCCCACAGTTTTTCCCATCTCAGTTCATATCCAGTTCCCTCAGGGCAGAAACTTAGGAACCATCCTTAACTTCCCATTTCTCCCACTTCCCACCATCCGTTCCATCTTTCTCTTCAAAATATGTCTGGGATCTGAGTGTTTCTCATTTCCTTCATTGCTGTCAACCCAGTGTCAGCCACCTTCGTCTCTCTCATGGACTACTGCATTCGCCTCCTGCTTCCACCTTTCCCGTCCAGTCAGTTCTTCACATTGCTGCCAGAAATTAAAGTTACCCTTTTAATAGACCAGATCACATGACCGCTTTGCTTAAAACCTTCAGTAGCTTTCCATCTCCCTGAGAGTAAAACCCAGAGCCTCATCCTGGCTTGTAAGGTTCTGGGTCCTCTGGTCTCCAGTTACCTCATTGACTCTCCATCCTCTGTCCCGCTCTCAGCTTCCTCTGCTCTTCCCTTCTTACCATTCCTCAAACATGCCAGCTGGGCTTCCACCTGGGAGCCTCGCACTTCCTGTTCCCTCTGCCTGGTTCACCTTCCTCCTAGATAATGGTATAGTTTGCTCCCTTACTTCCATCAGGCTCTGCTCAAATGCTACTTTATCAGAGAGGCCTTCCTCGAACACCCTGAATGAGAGATTCCCGAGTTTGCTTCATTCCTCTTCATAGCATGTTCCACCACCTGAGATATTGCTTATTTACTGAGTGTCTGTTTCCTGGCTCCTGGAACATGAACTCCGTGAGAGCAGCGAATCTGTTGTGTTCTTGCAGTGTTCCCAGTTCCTAGCACAGTGCCTGGTATATTATAGGCGCTTAGTAAATATTTATTGAATGAATGAGTAAATATGTTTTAATATTGGTAGATAATGTTTTCTCTCACCAGGTACCAGGTCATCAGTACACCATCTGATATTTTCATGGTGATGGAATATGTCTCAGGAGGAGAGCTATTTGATTATATCTGTAAAAATGGAAGGGTAAGCCGTTCTGATTTAATCCTGTGTATATTTGTAACTCCCCTTATCCCTTACTAGCTTTGAGATATCAGGAAGCAGTTTTATTAAGAGGTCTACTTAATAACCAGTTCCCTTAGTTTTATACTTTTCTACAATCATAGACTATTTAGAGCTAGGAAGGACCTTAAAGATTATCTCCTTGGCTACTTATACAGATGTGGAAACAGACTCACAGTTTATATATTTGCTCGAGGTCACATGATTTATTAATGATGGAATTGGATTGAGAGCCCAGAACTCATGATCCTCAGACTTGTGCCTTTGGGGCATACAAATACCTTTAATACACATCTTAAAGTATATACTTAATCCTAACAAAATTTATTATTAAATACTTAAAGATCTAGGCCTTGCTAGTCAACCCTAGCCATATTTAAATTGCATTCATTTTTTGGTTTCAGAAATCTGATGTACCTGGAGTAGTAAGAACAGGCTCCATGAATGAGATTTAAAGAACTTAGAGTTGAAAGGAGCTTTAGAAGACATTTTGAACAGTATCTTAAGTTAAGATACAGAAACCGAACACTGCCCGCCACCCATCCCTTTTCTCACACCCAGGTTATGTGGTATGCAAAAACCTCCTCTGGAAGAGCTGGATCTGGCACGGAGAAGCCAATTTTTTTACCTCCCAGTCTAAAGTTCATTATGTCATTCATTCATTTGTTATATGCAGCATATCTGTTTACTTTCATCATTAACCAAGTTAATTTTGATTTTCCCATTTCTTAACATGGTTCATTTCAATTTCAGGTATTCTCCTTCTCTAGTCACTGTAAACCACCCCCACCCCACCTCCCCACCCCCAATTTTCTGCCTGGAAAAATGGAAACAGGCACAAATGGAATTGCTATCTTGTTTTCTTACCTTTTCTCTTCTTTTTTTCATTTCTTGGTCATTTTGCTTTCCATTATGGGAATTTTCTCTAATTTTTACCCGTTGCATAATAAATTTCAGCTTTCATCTTTTATTTCAGAGGTCTCTTTCTTGTTTTCTGAAATTTCCTTTCTTTAAATAGCCTATTTTTGTTCCACAGATGTAATAACCTTATCTTTCTGAGGATGACAATTAGTTTTAAACAAAAAGGGGCCTTCTGCTCCCAGCATTGTTTCTATTCCTTCTGTGCTCCTTTATTTTCTGTTCATTTTACTAGTCTTTGTCTGTTGTGTATGGCCCTTCCTCAGATATCTGGTGATTCTTGGTTGTCCACTCATGTTTGACAATGGGGCACTAAGTGCCAAGTTCATCTTGGTGGAACTTATTGATTGGTGGGCCTTCGCATAGGCTGAATAGGTAGAGGCCTGTCCGTTTTATTAGGGTAGACCAAAATGTCAGTAATTACAAATATTTTTCCCTTGGATCAGATAGTTGCTCCAGAAGATACCTTCCTGTTTCCTTGAGAGTATTAGCTGCCAGTATTCCAGTTGCTGAATGGGGAAGAGATCTGCAAGTCTCACTAGTTAATATGTTGACTTTCACTTAATTGCCAAATTTTCCTTCTGGGGCCTCATCTCTGCCTTGGTGTCCTTGAGAACAGAGCTGCTTCAGCATTACTAAAGAGTAAATCATGGGTCTTATTTCCCAGTAGGACTGAATTTAAAACTTCTTACTTCAACCAGTTGTCCTGTTGTCAGTCCACCTCTCCCTTGTCCCTCAGAAATCCCCAGTGCTTCCAATTTCTAAGCTTTTCCAGGGTTCTGTGAGTAGACAAGTTTATTATTGGTTTCCACCCCCTTGGGCTTAGGTTTCAGCTTTCTCTGGCTGGTGAAGTCTTTGTCGCTCTTCATCCACTCTCTGGCTTGGTGACTTCTCTTGATTACTGCTGTCTCTTCTCTTACTATTCTTTATATGCTAATGTCATTTTAGGGATGTTTCAGGGAGTGGAGACAAAGGTTCAGTATTTACCTGGAAATGAGCTTTGACTTTGCTAATCTTCCTTTGTAGACTTCTCCTCCTCCATCCTTTGTACCGTATTTATTATTGATATAGTGTAATTTTCACTTTTTATAGCCTATCTAGTTATTTTACCTTTTATATTTTGTTTAATCAAGTTTTCTTCTATTTCACATTTAGAACCCATTCTTGTTTTCATTTAGTATATTTGATATAAAAAGTTTTATTGTATTAAAAAATGAACCTACATTTCTTCTAGAAATAAAGGTGTTAGATTGTTAACGCATTAATATTTTCTTTAGAGGAAGGGTATCTATAGTACTTTAGTAGTTTTAGCTTTGGCTTCAAAAGAAATTCCTAGTTCATCTTTCCCCCCAGATTATTTATGCCATTTAAGGTGTAGAAGTGTGGTTTTAGAATGCTAATTTGTGACCTGTGTTAGAGAATTGCATATTAGAGTCCTTTGCCTAGAGGATTAATAGTTTATTTATTAAATATGACCTCTTGGGAACAGGTATGTCTAAGTGGTGGTTATCGCTTATGGAAAAAACATCATAAAATAAGAAAATATGGATAAATAGAATGAGAAGTTTTTAAAGAATCTTTAAAAAAATGTAGCTGCAGGAGCTGGCTTGATGGCATAGTGGTTAAGTTTGTATACTCCACTTCAGTGGCCTGGGGTTCACAGGTTTGCATCCCAGGCACAGACCTAGCACCGCTCATCAAGCCACACTGTGGCGGTGTCCCACATACAAAATAAAGGAAGACTGGCACAGTGTGATCTTCCTCACTCCTCCAAAAAAAAATGTATTTGCAGCATAACATATAATTTTTTCAGTAAGCAGACTAAAGATAAATGCTTTTGTATTTTCTAAAACATATGAATTAAGGTTTTTCTTTTGTTAAAATTAAAACATCTTTTATTTCAGGACCTGTAACGTTGTTGCTTACTAATTCATTAACAATGCTTAAATGTACTTCCTCATAGAGTCTGAAATAGTATCCCCCCCACAATATAACTCTGTGCCCTTATCCTGCTTTGCTTTTCTTCAAAACACTGTCACTCTTTGACGTTACATTTATTTGTTTATTGTCTATTTTCATCCACTAGATTAGGGCCTTTTTTTATTTGTTGCTATATCAAGAGCATCTAAACAATGCAGGGCACATTGAAAATATTTAATACGTATTTGGAAAGGCGTAAAGGATGAAACATTTCTAATTTATAGGAGAAAGCATGCCTCATTTCAAGTAGAAATTGAAACTATTTGTAATAGCTCATGAGACAGAAAGGAGAGCAAGCTATTACAGTGTAGTTGTCTGAGTGATAATATTAGAAAGTTGAGTTGCTGATTTGGGCTGCAAGATCCTCTGAGCATTTCTGTTTTGTGCTGCATATCTCTTCTCCCCATTCAAAAGTATCTCGTGAGTGAGGTTTGTGGAAAAGGTTTCATGCATTTTGACAGTTTTGTAGGTTGGAGAATTATAGGTAAAAGATTTCTTCTGAAAGACACACCTTTAAGATGCCTCTCTTCTTTTCTAGCTCGATGAAAAAGAAAGTCGACGTCTGTTCCAACAGATCCTTTCTGGTGTGGATTATTGTCACAGGCATATGGTGGTCCATAGAGACTTGAAACCTGAAAACGTCCTGCTTGATGCACACATGAATGCAAAGATAGCTGATTTTGGTAAGCAGATTTTTATAGTTTCATACGTGCATTATGTTTAACAAACATTAATAGCATTCCTCAGATAATTTTTACTTCTATAGAATACATTGAGTATCCCAAAATAGTATATCCCCACCATTTTGTCTAGGAGTATACAGAAAGGGGAAAAGCTAAGGAATTCTCTTTTCTTAGCTTTGTGTCTTTAAAATTGAGTTTTATGATAGGAGGTAAATAATTTAAGATGGCAGCCTTAGAGAAATCATTTGAAAAGAGAACTATTATAAGTGAAGGAGAAGTTAGCAACCTTGTTTCCTATGTGTTCTTGTGATCAAGTATGGAGCAAGAGGAAAGACACTGGGATAGAGTTATTTAAACTTGGAAAACCAGAAGGTAAACTATATGAACAAAATTATTTAAAAAAAAAAACTATTTTAAATGACAGAAAAGCATAATTACAGCTTGAGGAACATTATTTCGATTGTCCAAAATGAAGTGATTTTTCCTTTGTTTCCTATACAAATTGCCATTGACATTAATAAACCTAAGAAAAATGAATCTCTGCCACTGTCTTTTGCTTAGCTTCAGTTCAAATCAGAGGAGGTTCTTAGAAGTATTTTCCTCAGTTTTGAATATATATATTTTAGTCTGTGGAGATTCATGGAACAGTGCCAACCAGCTCTGAGCTGCTGTGTGATTTTTTGGTAACTAAGTTGTTTTGACTGACTTGTTCCTCAATTGTCATGATTATTTTTATAGAGTGCATTTTTGCGGAGGCAGAGGTTTCTTTTTGGAGTAAAACTATGAAGGAACTTTGATATTAAAAATTATTTCTTGTTGATTTTTTTTAGAGAATCAGAACAGGGCTTAATAGAAACTTTGAATTTTAATTCCTCTGCTCATGTGTTCTACATTTTTTCCCCTTGTAATTTTTGTATTAACAAAACTTGAACATGCCAACTTTATTCTAGTAAGCAGAATAACCAATTGCTTCATATATACTCATTAAACTCCAACAGTGCACTACCTTTAAATGTTGAAATAGATTACAAATTTTAGGGCATGATAGCAAAATATTTGGGAAATAGTAAAGACTACACTTTTTGTTGAAGTAAAGAAAAAATGATGATTTATCACTTTAATACAAATGCAATTTTAGTGTTTAACAGTTTTGTTTTTATTTTTGTTCTTGGGAAATCTTGAGTAGTTGATTTTGTGTATTTTCAGGTCTTTCAAACATGATGTCAGATGGTGAATTTTTAAGAACGAGTTGTGGCTCACCCAACTATGCTGCCCCAGAGGTCATTTCAGGAAGGTAATATTGGACTCTCCCCCAGTACATTTGTACTTGCCTTTTTCTCTTAGATTTTGTTAGCCTGTAGCATCATATTTAATCCTAGTGAAAGGAAAGAAATTAGAGGGTTTATTCTTTTATTGAGAAAGTGTTCTGTTTTAAGAATAAAACATTATAATGTCTTTATTTTTTTTTTAATTTTTTTTTCCTTTTTCTCCCCAAAGCCCCCCGGTACATAGTTGTATATTCTTCGTTGTGGGTCCTTCTAGTTGTGGCATGTGGGATGCTGCCTCAGCGTGGTTTGATGAGCAGTGCCATGTCCATGCCCAGGATTCAAACCGACGAAACACTGGGCCGCCTGCAGTGGAGTGCACGAACTTAACCACTGAGCCACCGGGCCAGTCCCTATAATGTCTTTTTTTCTTTTTGACGAAGATTGGCCCTGAGCCAACGTCTGCTGCCAATCCTCCTCTTTTTGCTGAGGAAGACTGGCCCTGAGCTAACATCCGTGCCCATCTTCCTCTACTTTATATGTGGGACGCCTGCCACAGCATGGCTTGCCAAGCGGTGCCTCAGTCTGCACCTGGAATCTGAACTGGCAGACCCTGGGCTGCTGAAGCAGAACGTGGGAACTGTGGCACTGCGCCACTGGGCTGGCCCCAGAATAAAACATTATAAATGAATAAGTATTAAGGACTCCATTTATAGAGGAGAATGTCGGTTTGCAAGTCAATATTAAAGTGGTTAAATGAGAGGACTTTCACTTTTTTCCCAGGTGGAAGAAATTGAAGGTTTAAAACTAGTGAGTTTTAAAGCTAGGTAAGACATTAAAAACTTGAATAATACATAAATATCTCAGTTAAAAATGGTTGGGGCTGGCCCGGTGGCGCAGGGGTTAAGTTCGCACGTTCCGCTTCTCGGCGGCCCAGGGTTTGCTGGTTTGGATCCTGGCTGCGGACATGGCACCACATGGCACACCATGCTGTGGTGGGTGTCCCACATATTAAAAAGTAGAGGAAGATGGGCACAGATGTTAGCTCAGGGTCAGCCTTGCTCAGCAAAAAGAGGAGGATTGGCAGTAGTTAGCTCAGGGCCAATCTTCCTAAAAAAAAAAAAAATGGTTTACTATTTACTTAGATGAAGAATTAAAAGTGCAATGTGTACCTTTCATTTTTCAAATAGATGGCATTTTGTAGCTTTAGGTTTTATGATGAGGTGTCTTGGGGAATTGGACTGAACTGTTGATAAAATCTTCAAACTTGATTTATTTTAAATTTTCATTGTTGAAATCTTTTAGACTGCAATATTATAAGAATTCTGACCTCTCAATTTACTAACCACCAGTGCTGAGAACATGAGGATCTTTGTACAGTGCAGCTTTTCAAATAGTTTAGATAACAGGAAAATTTAATTTAATTTTTCTTTTTTAAAAATTGGCGCCTGAGCTAATAACTGTTGCCAATCTTCTTTTTTTTTTTCTTTCTGCTTTTTCTCCCCAAATCCTCCCAGTACATAGTTGTATATTTTAGTTGTGGGCCCTTCTAGTTGTGGTATGTGGGACGCCGCCTCAGCATGGCCTGATGAGTGGTGCAGTGTCTGCGCCCAGGATCCGAACCAGTGAAACCCTGGGCAGCCACAGCAGAGCGTGCAAACTTAACCACTCAGCCACCGGGCTGGCCCAAAATTTAATTTTTTAAAGGGTAATTGTTCTTCACTATACCATTGAAATTGAAAACAGAGAAGGTTAAGTTTATTTACTAGGGGTTTTTGTTTGTTTGCTTGTTGTTTTAGGACGATTGGCCCTGAGCTAACATCTGTTGCCAATCTTACTCTTTTTTTTTGCTTGAGGAAGATTAGCTCTGAGCTAACATCTGCGCCAGTCTTCCTCTATTTTATATGTGGGTTGCTGCCACAGCATGGCTGACAAGTGGTGTAGGTCCGAGCCCAGGATCTGAACTTGTGAACCCAGGCTGCCGAAGTGGAGTGTGCCAAACTTAATCACTGTGCCATAGGGCTGGCCCATTTACTTTTCTTTTGGTGAGAAAGATTGGCCCTGAGCTAACATCTGTGCCAGTTTTCGTCTATGTTGTATGTGGGTGGCCCCCACAGCGTGATTTGATAAGTGGTGTGTAGGTTTGTGCCCAGGATGTGAACCTGCAATCCCCAGGCCACTGAAGCGGAGCACGCAAACTTAACCACACCATTGGCCTGATCCCCCCCCCACCGCCCATTTGCTATTTTTATAATTAACTTTTAATAACTTTTCACTCAAACCACATTTCTTTATTTTAATGTTTCACATCCTCATTCATTCGGAATGCAGAAATCTTGTAGAATTTTCTTTCTGTTTTCATAAGGTTGCTTGCGTAGCCTGCACAGAGAAATTATATTTGTGTGAAAGCATGGCTATGAATAGAGCAGAAGTATCTAATTTTAGACTTATCAAGCTTCATCATTCTCTTTTTATATTAACCTAATGTTCAATTTTTTTTTTTTAATTATTTCATTTGTGTTGTCTAAATTCTTTTGGGAAGAAAACAATTCAACACATGGATCCTGGGGACAGTGTTAGTTAAATGTATAAAAATAAATGTAGTTATGCATATATGCAGTGGGCATTTTTGAAGTCTAATTTTCCCAGTTTGGATACAGTCTTTCTGTGAGGTCTGGATGAATGGAAACTTACTTTCAAGACAATATTTATCGATCAGTTCAACAATTTATTTGACCAGTTTATAGACATCTTTCCCTGAAGCCAGACTTCGAATGGGTTACTAACTAGTCTGCAGCTGTTAAGTCAGTTGGCTGGAGTGTATTGCAAATAGGCATTTAAACTCCTCTGTGAACCAGTTAGCTTGGTTTCCTTTTGCAGCTTCAGACCCCTTTAACCTTGGGAGGAGGTCTTGGGTTATTGGGGAGAGTGGATTTAGAGTCCATCACTAAAGAACATTCTCAGTTGATGAAAGATCATTTAATCTCTCACCTATAACCAAAAACAATGGTTTTAGGTTTAGTGGTGATATTTTTGTTTAAGGTTTGGCCCTATTGGTTGGATCTCCTGACGATCACAGTAAGATAGTGAGAAGAAAATTTTAATTATAGTCTATAACTTAAATTCATAACTTTTGTTTTCAAAGATAATACTGGTGAAATTAGTATAGAATCTTTATGTGTAGTGTGCAGCAGTGACTATAGAAACCACGTGATAATTCTTTGTGAAGTATCCATATTGAAAATTTTTAATTGATTGACTCTTAAGTTGCTAATGATTCTTTAATGCAATTGGTATTTCCTATTACAGATTGTATGCAGGCCCAGAGGTAGACATATGGAGCAGCGGGGTTATTCTCTATGCTTTATTATGTGGAACCCTTCCATTTGATGATGATCATGTGCCAACTCTTTTTAAGAAGATATGTGATGGGATCTTTTATACCCCTCAGTATTTAAATCCATCCGTGATTAGCCTTTTGAAACATATGCTGCAGGTGGATCCCATGAAGCGGGCCACAATCAAAGATATCAGGTAATAAAGCAACTTGGAGATCAGCAGCTCTAACAGTATCAATGAGATAAGTTAAGTGAAAGAACAAGTTGCAGGCAGTATGTACAAGGTAATCCTGTTTTTATGTTAAAAAATACAGTATATGGACACATTTATTTTTTTATTTCGGTATTTAAAAATACACCCTAAACCGGCCCCCTCGGGGAAGTGAGACTGGTGGGAGGGAGGGCTCTCACCTTTTATTTACGCATCTTTCTTTGTTTTGAAATTGTAACAATGAACATTATATTGCTTTTTAAATTAAAAGAAAAAGCTAATGAAAAATAAAAAGGATCCTGGTGGGGTGTTAGATTTTGTAGTGGGTCTTTAAAATTTTTTGTAGTATGCTTCATCTGACTTTTATGTGTTCTCATCAGGGTTAATACTTTATAGTTGTAAATTTGTGTGTTGCTATTTGAGTTCTGATCTCATGAATTATTGTCTTTTTCCCTTTTGTTCATCTCAAGGAATGAGAAAATTTTAATCAATGACATGTTTTTTTGTGTAGTATACATTGAATCGCATATGAAATTGCTGTTTTGTAGGTAAAAAGTCCCTCAATATTGCCAGTTTCATATGGTTCAACTAAGAGTTTAAGTAAGGCAGAAGTGATGATGACAAACATACTTCTCACATTTAGGCGAGTCATTTCTGATGGAGACTTTAAAAAATCACTTCAAACTTTGTTTCTTCTGCCATCGTTTCCTTCCTGTTTTTCCCCCTGTGGAAATTTCTCTTTTGGTCTTCTAATGGTTAGATAGCACACTTCTCTGAGTTGGAGGGACAAGGAAGAAAGAAATCAGATGTTGATCTAGGAATAGTAAATAAGAAAGCATTAGGGTTATGAAGAAGGAAAGAGTATATGTAGAACTTAAAGCTTGTTTACTTTCCATTTACCCCATATGCTGTAGACTACCTAAAAAAGAGGCCATGGATGGCAGGGCAGGACTTTACCAGCAGAGGAAAAGGACAAATCATTCTCTAAAATTCTAACAATTCTCTAAAAACAGTCATGCGTCACTTAATAACGGATATGTTCTGAGAAATGCATCGTTAGGTAGTTTCGTCGTTGTGTGAATATCATAGAGTGTACTTACACACAAACCTAGATGGTGTAGCCTACTGCACACCTAGGCTGTATGGTACTAATATTATGGGACCACCAATGTGTATGTGGTCTGTCATTGACTGAAACATCGTTATGTAGCGCATGACTGTATTTTAAAGTATCTGAGTGAGAGAGGCTTTTTCCTGGGTTTTACTTAGTTTTCCAATTTAAATGTAATATGTGATAATTGGAACAGACTTAGAAAACACCAAAAAGAAAATAGAGAAGAGGACTAAAATGATCTTTAATTTCTTCACCCAGAAGATAATCATTGTTCTTTTGGGTGTTTCCTCTCTTGATGTTTTTAGTTTCAGCGTAGTTTTTTGACGTAGTTCAGATCAAACATATCCTTTTGTGTGTGAAGTTGGGATATCCTCAGTTCCTTCATTTAAAATAAAGGGACACTATTATCTTTATAGAGTAGTTTTGAAAATGAGGCGAGATAATGGATATAAAGTGTTTAGCTTAAAACGTACCACACAGTAAGCACTCGATCAATGGTAGTTGTCTATTTTTGTTGTTATATTTTTTCACTTAACATTGTATCAAAAGAGTGTTATAATGAAGCTCCCAGAATATGTTCTCTTTCTGAGCTGGAAATAATCTGGTCTTTGTCATTTGTCATTGTCCTTCGTTCCAAAACTTTAAATAAAAGTGTAGACATTTCTCACTGTTGCTACGGCAATGCTTTCTGCCTCTTAAAATCAGAGGGAGGCTGGAGTAATTCCCCCAATATTTTTTGTTTGTTTGTTTGTTTTTTTGAGGAAGATTAGCCCTGAGCTAACTGCTGCCAATCCTCCTCTTTTTGTTGAGGAAGGCTGGCCTTGAGCTAACATCCATGCCCATCTTCCTCTACTTTATATGTGGGATGCCCACCACAGCATGGCTTGCCATTCAGTGCCACATCTGTACCCGGGTTCCGAACTGGCAAACCCCAAGCTACCAAAGTGGAATGTGCACACTTAACTGTTGCGCCACTGGGCCGGCCCCTTCCCCATAATTTAAAATGAAATGTGACCGAGAAGAGGAAAATCTCAGTTTAAAAAATGATGATACCCTAAGAGTATAAATACAAAGAAATTCCTATCCTAAATTTCCCAAACCATTAGTTTCAGTTTCATCTCTACTCGAAATCCTTCTCCTGATCTTGCCATTTTCTCTTAGGGAACATGAATGGTTTAAACAAGACCTTCCAAAATATCTCTTTCCTGAGGACCCATCATATAGTTCAACTATGATTGATGATGAAGCCTTAAAAGAAGTATGTGAAAAATTTGAATGCTCAGAAGAGGAGGTTCTCAGCTGCCTTTATAACCGAAATCACCAGGACCCTTTGGCAGTGGCCTACCACCTCATCATAGATAACAGGAGAATAATGAATGAAGCCAAAGATTTTTACTTGGCGACAAGCCCACCTGATTCTTTTCTTGATGATCACCATTTGACTCGGCCCCATCCTGAAAGAGTACCATTCTTGGTTGCTGAAACACCAAGGGCACGCCATACTCTCGATGAATTAAATCCACAGAAATCCAAACACCAAGGTGTAAGAAAAGCCAAATGGCATTTGGGAATTAGAAGTCAAAGTCGACCAAATGATATCATGGCAGAAGTTTGTAGAGCAATTAAACAACTGGATTATGAATGGAAGGTAAGAAAGAAAGAGCATTCTGATTGTTGGCACATTTGGCAAACCTGTAGTCTGAAAATATTTTATAGAAGAATTGCTTTTGACTTTGTCTTTGTCCATACCATATGCTAGGTTGTAAACCCATATTACTTGCGTGTTCGAAGGAAGAATCCTGTGACAAGTACCTACTCCAAAATGAGTCTACAGTTATACCAAGTGGACAGTAGAACATACTTACTGGATTTCCGTAGTATTGATGGTATGTATGTCACACAAAACAGCACTGTTAACATAGTTAGACCTTATTACCTACCTTGGCATTTTAGTCTTTGGCTCTTTTGAAGCTTCTTGAATTGTTCCTAGTAATTCAATAGCAAAACAATATTAAAATGTGAGATTTTGTGCCTTTGGGATGTCAGCATTTGTGAATCTGGTTCTTGGAATCTTAGAGTGTATTGTCCTTTTAAGGTTCTCTCCTTGTAAGATCCTAAAGCCAGATGCAGTCTGATCCTAAAGGGGTAGTTTCTGCCACATTTCTGGTTTTTGGTGTGGTTCATTTGGTAAGATAAAACGTTTTATTTAGAAACAAATGTTGACTTTTTATTTTAAATATGTTTTATATCTGATATTTAATAACTTTTACTTTTTATTTAAGAATTAGAGTACAGTTATTAGCTTTTAGAGTCGAGTGACAAGGCGCTGTCAATAGATTCAACTCATAGCTCGCAGGACAAGCAATTATTTGCCGAGTTAGGTTTCTTTCAGGGGGCAGAGGGAAATATTTGGTACACTTTAGGGACTTCTGGTTATTTTTTTCTTCTGAACTAGCCTTTTCCTCCCAGCCTGACCCTAGAGACATAATCAGAGATATGTATCCTTTGTTTGTTTTGTGAGTGCTTTATGATTCCAGTAGTAATTACATTTCAATAAAATGTTCTTAAATAATAGATCAGTTTTCTGTGGAATGCACTATGTAAGGATTCCTGGGACTAAAGCATTTTAAGTCCAAGATAATTATCATAATTAGTTAAAGGTGACATTGTTAACCTTATACCAGGTCTCCTGTACATTTGTATTTACCTAGAATCATAAATAGTAATATACCACCTAATGATCAAATCACTGAAATATTTAAAATTTTAAGTTAAGTATTTTAATTGGTCATCAAAATAATGACCCTACTGTACTATAAGATCTTCAGGTACCTCCTTGAGTTTTATTAAAGAAACTTTATGTTGAATATGTTTTACTGTTTGAAAATGAAAATCTATACTCAGAAAATATATCTCTGATTACCATTATGTATAGTTTGCCAGAATATCCCCTCAACTATTTAGATTGGTTAAGTTGAGGTAAATTATTAATGCAGAAAGCAGACATTTTTGTTTTTGTTGTTTTTATTTTTAAATGGGAAAAATATATTCCAAGGTATGTATGAATAAACTATAACAGACTTCTAGTAAATGGTACAATATCATAACGTGGTTTGAAATTTACATTAATTCAGATTTCCCATGAGTATGCACTCAAACCTAATTTACCTTATCTATTAAAAAGCCTGACGGAACACACTTGACTCATAATTCAAGTAAAAATATTCTCTTTCTTTACCCCAAGAGAATATTTACAAAAGGGTATAGATGTATATATAAATGTTCTGTCACAGAGCCTTTAATTAAGTACAAGTTTATGGCAATTCTTCACTAGCCAGTCAATTGAGTTAAGATGTGTTGCCACTCTTGTTCATCTGAGATTGAATGGAATTATTACATGAGATTCACCTATGAATTTTTTGCCTTCTTTATAAACTCCAAGATAGTAGCTACATAGTATCAGAAAGACACAGGTTTGAGCTGTGATAAGCTAGCCAAACCTGTTTGTCTGCATATCTGTATGTCCAGATGGTGTGTACCTGCTAATACCTACGAGTGCAGTCTGAGATATGGGTGTTATTTTTCTCACTGTATTAGGGTCAATTTCCCACCTTAGGCTTATGAGCACCTGGACTTACCAATTGAATGACCATTTATTGTTTTCGTATGTCTTCCCAACTGTAGATTTTCCTTGATTTTTGTTCATTGGAAGTGTTGCTCTTTAATAAGATCTTAAATCGAATATGAAGAGAAAGAGGGAGAGTGAAAAGCACTGAGATGAGAGTGAGGAGAGTTGGGTTCCAATTTCCCTCTCTGTTCATTTGTTACCTATGGCAAGGCACTTAACTTTTGGGGGTTTATGTTTTCTTATCAATAAAATGAGGAGTCAGATGAGATGATTTCCAAGATTCCTTCCAAATTTTAAGTGTGTTTATTGTATGATTTTAACATAGAGGGATTAATTTTTATTGCTAGGGAATGATGTTTATTAAGCCCCAAGTTATTAGTTTATTGGGCTCTCAATGTTGGATTGCAAGACTGATGAGTAGCTCTGTGCTGTACCCAGTCTGGATTAGTCATCAGAATACATGTTGTGTGTAAACGTCAAGTGGTTTAACACAGGTTCATTGCCTCTATTTTAGAAGGTGTTCAAAATAAACATGCTCTTGATAGCTGGTCAGTGGTCTTACTCAAAAAAGCAAATTAAATACCATTAAAAAATTGGAAGGGAGTATTTCTAGATCATAATAAATAGAAGTTTTTTTTTTACCCAGATGAAATTACTGAAGCCAAATCCGGGACTGCTACTCCACAAAGATCGGGATCCGTTAGCAACTATCGATCTTGTCAGAGGAGTGATTCGGATGCTGAGGCTCAAGGAAAATCCTCAGAAGCTTCTCTTACCTCATCGGTGACCTCACTTGACTCTTCTCCTGTTGACTTAACTCCAAGACCTGGAAGTCACACAATAGAGTTTTTTGAGATGTGTGCGAATCTAATTAAAATTCTTGCACAGTAAACTTAAAACTTTGCTTATTTCTTTGAGAGCAATAAGCATGTATAATAAATCATAGCCAAATGCTTCCATTTATAATCAAGTTATGTATAACTATAACTGAAGATTGGCCTTTTGGAATGCAGTTTGCACAGGGATTGGAACATGATTAATAGTTAAAAGCCTAATGTGCAAAAATGAATTTAGATAATTTTATTGTTCGTTGTTCAGTAGGAATATAGCATAATATAATATACACAATGAATTATAGGTCTCTCAGGCTCACTTGATTTTTGGCTATTTTATATTTAGTGTACACAGGGCTTTGTAGAATATTAATTTACCATGAAGGCCTTCGTATATTATTCCATGTTGGTGTGTTATATATTTGCTTCATAAATTTATTCAATAAATATTTGCCTAGAATCCCCAGAGACCTTTATAGATGAATTTCTTTTCTGAGCTCCTTAACTTCTTAAATAGCAACTATCTTCCAACAGTAGGAACAGTCTGGATGACTCTTCCATATCCCCCCCTTAATATTCTGTAGTCTATGGTAAGTCATATCAAAGATTTTAGACACAATTAAAAATTTTTCTTTAGCTTGGTAAGCCCCAAAACACACAGAACTTACATATTCAGATACTCTAGGCACTAAGTTTAATCTTAAAATTTGTCTCATTCTATTCTGTACATAAATTGCTCTTTTTGTCACAAGAGCTGAGTTGCATATACTGTAAATAAATCATGTTATTTTGCCACTCTCACAAATTCTGCTGCTCATCATGTCGGGGTATTGAAGGTATGCAAAAATTTCTAGCCATTCGATTATCTATCTTTTAAATCGATTCAGTGTGCAGAAAGCACCTCTCTTACAAACTGTTCAAACGCTCAGATAAGACTATTTCTCCCAAATTTTATTATGAACATTTTTAAAAATAGAAAAATTGAAAAGCTGGAGGGTGATCCCACGTGTATGTACTACTTAGATTCAGTACTTGTTAACATTTTGCCATATTTGCTTTATCTGTATCTATCTATGTGTATATAGATATAGTTAGACATATATATGCATGTGTATATATGCCTTTTTTCCCCCAAACCATTTGGATGTTGCAGACATACTCATCACCCCTCAACATTTCAAGCATCTCCTAAAAATAATGACATTTTCCTAAAAAACCATAACAGCATTATAAAACTAGTAATTCCATAATGTTATCTAATCATGCATATTTAGACTTCCCCAGTTGTCCTCCAAATTTCTTTTATAGCTAGTTATTTCAAACTAGGATTCAGCTAAAGTTTACACATTACGTTTGGTTATGTCTCCCTAGTCAGGTGTGACATTATTATTATTCTGATAGAATATGGAATAAATCAGTTCTTCTAGATGGTTACATTTGTTTTGGGTTTTAATTACTTTTAAAAAAGTAGCATTATGGGAACTGCCTGAAGATGCTTAATCTTCCTAAGATCTCTGATTTATGTTTTTTCTTGCTCTTAGTAATAGCATTACATAATAGGTGTAAATGAAGATTTAAAGTCACCTCAGATAAAATTGGTATCGTGTATTCTAATAAGTAAAAAATTAACTATCAGCCATAATTGCCTTAGACTATTTTAACTTCAAGAAATTGATTTTGGTGGGGGGGTATTAGTCATTCTTCCATTGCAACACAGCTGTTCTTTTTTTCTCTTTTAAGACTCTGTATTATAGGATTGGTTTGTGAAGTAACAGCGAACACCTATGTAACCAGACAGTAATGTCCTCAAATATTCTGACAGCTTGCATAAATTATTACTGTGGTCGTAGATTTGGCTTCAGCACCCCTGGAAATGTGCACTGAATTCAAAAGAAAAATCTTGCTTCTTTTTTTGTCCAGGGCTTGTTCTATTCAACTTCGAATCGGAAAGCTATATAAAATAATAGAGGAGTTCCATTTAAATATAAGTTCAACCTGTATTTATAATTTGTATGTGGCCTCTGTTTGGGGGATATTGATTTCACAGATGCTGTCAATGCAGCATTATGTTCCTGATGTTAAGAACAGAAGAGTGTATTTTTAAAGTCACAGATTTGTATATAGAACTAACATCGCGGTGAAGTCTCTGAGCTGTTGTGGGGAGGGGGGAACAAAAGGAGGAACCCATTGAATAGGACCTTCTAAAAATTGTTAATTTTGTAAACTTTGCTTCTTTTTAAGTTATTGTGATTCCTTTTAGTTACTGAGTTTTATTTTGAAGATATTTAAATATTGCACTTGTACAATAGTATGATAAATGCACAGAATATTGCAGTGAATTCTTTTTTAAGCTGAGATATTTGAAATGATAACTTTTGGTTGAGTATGTCAAGGTTGCATCAGAATTTTCACAAATTTATTGTGGTTTGCAAATTCTTATTAAATGAAGCTATAAGGGAGTCAATGCAAATGATTTTTAATCTTTTTTTATCTTTTCAGCAATTTATATTTTTTGTGATTTTATGCAACCATATTTTTACTTTGTCTTGACAACTGAAAGATGTATAAGGTTTTTGCCAGAAGTGTACTGTATACATAGTTTTAAATATAACAGATTTTACTGATATGTAAAAATTTTGCCATTAAAATAAATGATTTCTCACTGAGAGGAACTTTTCTACCAGGTTGGGGGATGTGGGAGCTTAATATATCATATCTAATTTAAATAATTTCACTGAAATAAACTCCATTGCTTTTACTTTGGTTATATTTTCTCTTGAGATGCTTTTTGTAGTTTTTCAGAGTTTTAAATGATTTTATACAAAAAATCCTGCCCTCTGCCCCTCCACCCCCTGCCCCGCTCCCTTTTGACCTGGTAGTAATACCATTCACATTGAATTAATGCTTGGTGGACTGTTGCTGGCTGTAGAATTTCATGTGTCTATGCTCTGGCACTTTTGGAATGAAAGAAAAATGTGTGTTGTTTCAATCTTTTCCCCTTAATTCCCTCCATCTCCCCTATCCACAATAGAAATCTCATTGTCATCATGAGTTCTGACGAGATGGATAAAATTCCACATACAACGTAACTTAAGTGGGTGGTAGGGTAGAAATCAGTCTTTGTGGTACAGCATTTCTGAGATGTGTTCATGTATGTTTTAACTGGAGTATAAGTAGATAACTTCAAATACTTTGATTTGGAAGATGGGTAATAAAGGAAAACATCATTTTTCATCTGTTACGATGTGCTTAACTTCTTTAATGTCTGGAAAAACTAAATGAAAAAAAAAAAGCTCTGGTTCATGGCTGACCATCTGTGTACCTTTTTAACAATGTGCCTAAATATAAAATATAGTGCTTCAACAAATTTTAGCACTCAAACATTGTGATTTTTGCCTCAACTAAATTAGTTTTGATTTCATCTAGGAGTTAGCCACCGGAACGAAATATTAAGATACATAGAAGAAAAGTCAAAGTGGGTCCCATATCTGCGGCTGCTAATAACATTGGATTTGGTTAGAATTCCATTACTTTAGAATTCAGTTAGTCTGAAATCTATCCCATATGGCACTGTTAGCCAGGCTTGTGTTAGATTGTTGGCATTATAAATCCTTAAAATAGCTTGATAATTGTAACAAAACAAAACACTACTAAAGAGTATAATGAACAGTATGTAAGGTGGTTCTTTAGGGAACTTAGAAATTGCTCTAGGTATTTACCCTGACTGTACAAAATTGTACAAGAAATTCTTTTCTTTGAAAAATCACTATTTATTCAACTGTCCTATTTATTGTAAACAAATACTGTTCTATTGTGAATGTCAATAGATGTTAACTATGATAAATTTAGAAGATTTCTAGCAAGTTGGAAGATGATCATGTCTATAAACAGACAGCATGTGAAACCTGTTAAATGTATTGACAGCTACATCAAGATCAGAGAAGTTAGCAGAGAAGTGGTGGGTGAAGTGTGAAAGCTGAGTGTTGGAGGTAGCCTGTACCAGAGTAGAATGGATCAAGGTTAAATTATTTGAGAGATTTAGGAGAGACCCTAAGAAAGGGGTACAGCTTCAAGACCATTTAATAATTCATTCTGCAAACCATATGTGCTTGTAAGGGTACTATGAAGCAAGCACTACGAGTGTGACCATAAGGCATAAATCCTGCTCTGAGCCTCTGGTTAGGGAGATAGATATTTTTAAAGACTTCTATAGAAGTACAGCATATACAGAAAAGTGAACAAATCATAACTATTTGGCTCAATGAGTTTTCAGTGTTTTAGGTTTCTTAATCTCTACCCAGCTTAAGAAACATTGCCACCACCTTAGTGTCCTTTATAATTAATATCAGAAGTGATATACTACCACTTCTGCCCTATCTCTTAGGTAACACAGAACAACCCTGGTACTATGTGGGAAGGAAGTACACAGAGTGAATGTCAGGAGGAGGGACCGCAGGAGGCCATCTTGGAAGCTGGCTACCACAATCACGCATTGATCATTTTGAAAATAATAGTTCACTTATGCAGCTCTTAGAAAGTTGATGCATTTAATCCAATGATATAAATAAAAATCACGTCTGATATCACCACTGATCTCATCAGAAAAGTGTGGAAGTACTGGGAAGCTGTCAAGATCATTATGGCAAATACAAGTTTTCTGAAATCATAAATTCTTGAATTTTATCATTGGAAGCACTGTCGCTTGTTTTTCTTGAAGTAACAGACTCCCTTTGTTCATTTTCAAGAAAAGTCCTGTCATACTGACAAATAAAAATGGCAAGCAATAGGATATATTGGACTCCATGAGGAAGCCATTTGGTGTAAACCTAATTCGGCCTGACCGTGTCTTCCCAAAAGGGCCTGACCGAGGCTATTGAGCATGCATTGTATATCTGCTTTACATTCCCTATAGCAAGAACAAAGGCCCTTGAGATAAAGGTGCAACTTCCCTCCCCCTCCCAACGTTGGCATTCCCTTAAGGATTAAGCATCTCTCCTTAGGCTAGGAACTGATTGCTGCGCTCACCTGTGACCACCCAGCTTGAGACAATAGACTTGCCTCCTGCTACGCCCACCGAGATAGCAGACTCACTACCTGCTGTGTCCATCAAGCACTGTGCTGACAGGGCGATCTTGTGACTATTGTGGGAGGGACATTTCAATCATATTGTCGACAAAAATAATCCATAACCAATCTATATATGAAAATTTGGGTGAGTTTACTCTAGCTGAAATCTGAGGACCATGGCCCAGGGCCTTTCTTCTCGAAGGAAGAAAGGGCACCAAAGAAGTGAGGTACACAGAGTGGTTATATACCCTCATACGGGACATTTCACATATGATTGAAATCAATGATTTCAAATATGATTGAAAAAATAATTGAAATTATTTTTTCCTACCATGAGTGTGTGGTGGTGAGGAACAGGAGGACTTCTGGGACAGTTTGGTATCCTTGCCTTAATTCGTGCTGAGGCACCGGAGGTTTTACCCACCACTGCTTTTCCATTGCCAGGGCAAGTGTCCACACTGTGAGAAAGGCCAATGATGTCTTCGTATTTGCATGAAAATCGTTTTGACTTTGAAACGGTCTTGGCAACCCTCAGGGATCTGGATCACCTCGGAGACTCATGGGTTCACATCAATGCTTCTCAATGGGGCAGGGGCGGGGGGGACCATTTTTCTTCTAGGGACATTTGGCAATGTCCGGAGACATTTTTGGTGGTCACAGCTCGTGGTGGTGGATGCTAAAGGCATCTAGTGGCTGGAGACCAGGGATGCTGCTAAACACCCTACGACGCACAGCAGAGCCCCCCCTTCCCTCGACAACGAATATCCGGTTTGAAATGTTACAGTGCTGAGGTTGAGAAAGCCTGGTCTACAAAAATAGTTTTCCTTTGCACAAGATAGCTACCTCGACAAACTAACAATCTCAATTTTTCAATTTCCTAAACACCTCCCTGGGTTACATTCCCCTCCCCCCCTTATTTATTTTTAAGACATTAGCCACAGTTATTTTCAGGCCGTAACCCTCTCTTCTGGGTCCAATTTATTTGTTTTTCCGACGTGAACCCTACAGTTCAACCACGGCCCTCTGATCTGCTGCCCTGGAACCCTTTTTCAGCTGAGTTTGGCCTCCGTCCTCCGCATCTGGCCGGCCTCCTCAGTGGGTGTAAACTCCCTCAGGGCAGGGCCAGATCTTAACGCCCGCGCCTCCACTGCGTCCCGCGCTGACCCTGTGGTGGGCGCGCTTTGGCCGGGACGCCAGCCTTGAGATAGCCCGTGAGCCTGACGCTTGGGGCTGCTGCTAGAGGGCGCTCCCGGGCGGGGTGGCCCGAACTACAAATCCCAGAGGGTAGTGGGGGTGGGGACGGCCGCAGCGACTTCTGGGAGTTGTGGTCCCGGGGGAAGAAGAGACTGGCGTGTGAGAAAGGCTCTGAGACTCCCTTCTTTCTTGACCGCTTCTTTGGACGGTTCGGAATATCGGGGTGGCCAACCTAGTTTCTTAGGAGACCAGGCGCAAAAGTAAGGAGGTAGGAGGGCGAGCAGAATCATTTCCGTTTCCGGTGGGCAAAGGACAAGCGGAATGTAAACACGGGACCCGGGGAGTGGTTATCAGGTAACTGGGTTACCCGGTCCGTGGTGGAAGCCGGAGGAAGAGAAGAGAACGAGGCGAGTGGGTCTGTGGTCACGGGAGAAAGGAGCTTCAGAAGTGGGAGTTGATCTCCACCTGGACGTGGCAGACCCGGGACACTAAGGTTGGTCTCTAGGGACGAGCGCGTCTGGGGGTCGGGCCCACCAGTGAACGGCGCCTGGGGGGCTTCTGCACCTCGAGGCTGACCGGGCGGCGCGGCTCTTCCCCACGCGCTGCGGGGCGGGACCCAGTTAGCTTTCCCCGCGCTGCGGAGGTGCCTGTGGCGGAGGGCGGGGCTGGGGAGCTCGCGGGTGACGTCCGGGGCAGCCTGTCTGGGCTTCGCACATTTTTGTTGTGGAAAATGAAGGGAAGTCGCTGATACTGGTTTCTCTCTTGCGGTGATGTCTTCGGGTGCATTATTTCGTGAATTCCTCACTTCTGAATACATCCCTGTACCCGAAAGGACGCTGTTTTGATTTCCTGATCGTGTTCATTCGGTGGTTTCTCGCCGGGGGTGCTGCATCCCCCGACGCCGTGAAGACAGGCATTCTCTCGGCCTTGTGCCTGGGTTAGCTGGCAAGCCGTCAACAGCAATTGATCGCCTCCTATAGGGATCACTGTCCCAGCAGAAGAATTTAGAATACAACGTCGTTATTTAGAATTTTTATGGCCTTCTTTAACTCTATTCTGTATAAAATGAGTTTGTGTTTCGTGAGTTTAACGTGAAACCGTATGATTATGATTTACCCGTGTGATTTCTTATCCTGGTGAAAAAAAATGTAAAGGCTGGGATGTTGGTGCTTTGTGCATCTAACCATGGATTCAGGAAAGCCTTCTTTGTAAGAAGTTTTAATTTCACGTTTAGATATCTTTAGAGGAACAATTAACTCGTACTACTGAAGATATGTGAATCAACTCGGAGTGTTAAGTCCTCCAAGGCAGGAAGTGTTTTGCATTTGTTCTAGAACTCACCCTCCTTTTTAAGCCTAGCTAACTTTTATTCTTCGAAATTTACCGCCTCAGGAAGCCTCGTGTCCCTTCTCGGACGTCATAGCATCCTTTGTTTACTCCCTAAACGCACTTATCCTGTATTGTGTTGACTGTACGCTTGTGGTCTCCAGACCATTTTGAAGAAAATATAAAAGTATAAAAATATAAAACTAATGGCCTTGGTAACAGAGTCATGCTTTTTAATCTCAGTAGGCCCTTGATACTGTTTGGTATCTTTACTCATCCCTTATTTTGCTTTTCCTGCTGTCCACAGTGACTATTTCAGATCTTTTCTACTCTTCTCAAGTGCTCAGATCCATTTCTTTTCACTTTGCTTGGAGCAGAGGGCTAACCATTTCTCTGAGAAATGTGAAGCTCAGGGGGATGAAATCCTTCATTTTCTTTTCCCTCTACCCCTGAACTTGCCTATACCTCTCAATATTATCTCTTGTCTGAGAGGAAAGTATTGTTTTCCCTCTCTTCAAGGCTAAATTTGTCAATTGCTAGTGGTCATCAGGCCTTTTATACCCCTATAACCTCATTTTGTCCTGACCTCCACAGCCTCTGATTTCTAGAAGATTGTAAAGGATTTGTGGAGGAGAATGGCAGAAACACCTGAGGCAGCACTGTGTGTGGCTTTTTCACACATGGTTGAGAACTACCATCTGGGGCCTTAATCTCTACCTGTCCTCAGCATTTACACTGTGGTTTGGGTTGGAGGATGGAGGAGGGTATTGGGAGTCTGAATGACCTATTCATTTTTTAAAAAATACATGTAGGTCTGTCTGTCCCTTTTGCCTTTCCTCCCCACCCTAACTCTTGCTCCTTTCCTCCCCACCTTAACCCTTGCACCCTAATCTACAGAGCTGACCAATGAGTTCTAATATAATTTGCCTTTAGTAGACACACCAGGTTTCCATCTGTGTTAGACGGGTTCTCACACTACCTTGTGCCTCACATTGCGGATTTAGAAACAAAGTTCCATTTCAAACTTGAAGCCAGAAAACTTAATCCTCCTCATTCTTGTCACATTTAGAGACAGTCATAAGTACTTTTTTTTTTACCTCCCAAAAGTCCCAGTGCATTGTTGTATATCCTAGTTGTAAGTCCTTCTATGTGTGCCGCCGCCACAGGATGGCAGCTGACAGACAGGTGGTGTAGTTGCACGACTGGGAAGTGAACCCAGGCTGCCAAATTGGTGAGAGTGCTGAACTTTAACCACTAGGCATCAGGGCTGGCTCCAGACTTCGTTCTTAACTGGACTTATCTTGAGATCTTGTGAGACTTTCCTATCCATCTATTGTCTCACATCCTCACTCTCTGCCTCTGGACTTCTGTTCCATAGTAACCGCTCTTCCGTTTTCAGCCATTTCTTGGTTCTTCCCCTGAGTCACTTGTAGTCATCTTCAAACATAGGAAACTAGTTCTCCTGTGTTATAATGGATCGGGAGAAAGAGTGTGGCATTGGCCTGATTCCTTAGTATAGCTTAGTATAATCCATTACTCCTCCAGGTTTTTCTAAAAATCCCTGCTCCTGTGGAAGGCATATGGTTCACCCATATCAGCCTATACATTTCTTGATTGCTGTAATTTATTGGCACTTCCTCATATTCATTGAGAAATTAGGCACATGGCCCACAATTTTCTTATCCCCCTAAATTCTGTCATTATCTTGGGCCTTTCATGTGCATGAGCTCATAGCTACCCTCACTTTTTTTGTCCCCTTCCTTCGAGTGATTACTTATACTTTACTTTAGCCATGTGCATCAGTAATGAAGATCTCAATATCTGCTAGAACTTACCGTTTCATTTTTCTCCCTCCCTTACTCCCACAATGCCCATTCTTTGATAGTTTTATGAAGACCTCTGATTCATTGCTTTTTCTTACCCCTCTAATTGATCTAGCCAGTCCTGGTGGTCTAGTGGTTAAGATTCGGCACTCTCACTGCTGTGGCCCAAATTCATTTCCTGGTCAGGGAACCATACCACTCATGTATTGCTTGTCACACTGTGGCAGCGGCGTGTTGCTGAAAGCTGTGCCACTGGTATTTCAAATACCAGCAGGGTCACTCATGGTAGATAGGTTTCAGCAGAGCATCCAGACTAAGACAGACTAGGAAGAAGGACCTGGCCACCCACTTCCAAAAATATTGGCTCTGAAAACCTGTGAATAGCAGTGGAGCATTGTCTGATAGAGCCCTGGAAGGTGAGAACATGGTGCAAAAAAGACTGGGCAGGGTTCCGTTAGGAGTCAGCACTAACAACAGTTAGTCGCTCAGTTGGTTGATCATAATCTCCTTGGGGTCATAGACTTCTTTAAGAATGGAATGAAAGCTTAGACACTCTTCTCCAGAGTGCACACAGGCATATAAAAATTTGTATACAATTCCGGGGCTTTCTCAGGATCTTTAAGCCCATCCATGTATCTGGTAAGAGTTCTTGGATCCTTCAGTAAACCCCTTCAATTAATAAATATTTGTTGAATTCTTCTAGGGTTTCCTTTGACTTTGTTCCATCAATTTTCCTGTCTTTCTTACCTTTACATTTGTATATCATTGCAGATTTACAAAGCAATTTAACATTTATTATCTTTTTGATTCACCCAGTAGTTCTGTGAATTAAGTCATTTACCAAGTTTGAACTTTTATTTAAAGCCCACTCTGTTAAACACATTTTATTTTATTATTATTATTATTATTTTTTTGCTGAGGAAGATTCACCCTGAGCCAACATCTGTGCAAGTCTTCCTCTGTTTTGTATGTGGGTCATGGCCACAGCATGGCAGCCAACGAGTGGTATAGGTCCATGCCTGGGAACCAAACCTGGGCCACGAAAGCAGAGCATGCTGAACTTAACCACTAGGCCACTGGACCAGCCCCAAAGTTTGAATCTTTAAAAAAATTTTTTATTATGGAGAGTTTCAAACATATATGAAAAGAGAGAGAAAAGTACAAGGAATCCTTTGTGCTCATCACCTAACTTCATCCACTATCAACTCATGGCAGTCTTTTCATCTCTATTTCTCCTCTACTGCACCCCTTCCCCTGCTGATTAGATTGAAACAATTCCTAGAGATATAATTTCATGTGAAATATTTTAGTATGTGTTCCTAAAAGATAAGGGTTCCTTTAATAAACATAATCACAGTACTATTATCATACCCAAAAGAAATACCAGTAATTCCTTTATATCATCAAGTATCAAATCAGTGTTCTCGTTTCCCCTTTTGTTCCATAAATGTTTCCTTCCCATTGGCCTGTTTGAATCTGGAGCTGAACAAGATCCACACATTCTCTTTGGTCAATATATCTCTTAAGTCTCTCTTAATCTAGGAATTACCTCCCATCTTTCGCTCCTTTTTTTCCGGCATTTTATTTCTTGAAGAAGCCAGTTTTATTTTTCCTTATTTTCTGTTTTTTACTGTCTGCATCTCTGATACGTTATTTAGCATGCTTATCTCTATCCCATATTTCTTATAAGCTGGTAGAGGCTTGATCTGATTCAAGATTAATTTTTGGCAAGAGTATTTCATGGATGATGTGTCACCTCCATCAGGAGATGCGTAATCCAGTTGTCTGTCTTTATGATGTTAGTAGTCTTTGATGATGATTACCTAAATTTAATTAGGGATTAAAAAATGTTGATAGTCTGATTCTATTATTCCTTCTTCACTTGTTAGTTGGAATACTTTTATAAAGGGCCAAATTTGAAATTTAAAGCTGTTTTGTTATAATTTTCCAGAATGGCTTCCTTTGGATGGAAGAGGAAAATTGGCGAGAAGGTCTCCAAGGCCACTTCCCAGCAGTTTGAAGCTGAAGCTGCTGATGAGAAGGATGTAGCTGAGAATGATGAAGGAACCTGGCTACATGCTATTAAACGTAGGAAAGAAATTCTCCTTGAAGGCTGTGCTGAGAAAAGTAAACAACTGAAGGATGAAGGAGCCAATTTGGCTGAAAATAAAAGGTAAGTTTTTAGAGTTTTTTTAATAGAGAACAGTTTACATTTTCTGACTCACTGTCAGTATTGGGTAAAGAGTTATGAATTCTATAAATTCATGTTTTTAAAATCTGATCTAGTTGCTAAATTAAGCAAAGAAATACGAAATTTTAAAATCACCTTTAAACATTCCCATGGAATCTGAAAGTTTATAAAAGAGTCTTCAAGATGCTTATAATGTCTCTGCTTTGCCATCATTTTTGTTCTGTCTGAAGTAGAGTAACTGCTAAGTAAAATTTAATCTAACTTATTGGTTGGTAGGAGATGATCTAATTTCTGGAAAATTTCTTGTTGTGATATTATGTATGAGATAAATTAGATGTTTTCTGAACAGCTTTGAGGGCATATACTTTTTACAAAAAATAATCATTCAGTTATCCTTTTCTACTGACTTCTGATATCCTCTAGTAAACGTGGTTTGATGCACAGGAATTTGATAATAGCTTTATTTATTCTTAGTCTTTCCTCAGCTAAGCTCCTATACTTCTATATTCACCCTTCCTTTCTTCTTTTTCCCTTTCCTCTTTTCCTACTTTCTTATTCCTTTTCCCTTTCTTCTGCTTAGATCTTTCAGGGGGATCAAAAATCATTCTTGGGGCCCGTCTGGTGGTACGGCGGTTAAGTTCGCACCTTTGCTTCGGTGGCCTGAGGTTTGCTGGTTTGGATCCCAGGTGTGGACCTACACACCGCTTGGCAACCCAATGCTGTGGCAGGCGTCCTGCATATAAAACAGAGGAAAATGAGCACGGATGTTAGCTCAGGGCCAGTCTTCCTTAGCAAAAAGAGGAGCATTGGCGGTGGATGTTAGCTGAGGGCTAATCTTCCTCAAAAAAAAAAAAACCCATTCCTTCACAAATCAGTAGGGAAAGGACAAGTTGTTTAGTAGATTGTATAGAGAAAGCTGGACTTCTGGATGGAGGAAAATAAAATGATCTGTATCTAATACCACTTACAGAGATGGACTCGAGAGGGATCAAAGACTACACAGTTAATAAAAGAAAATATAGAAGGGTATCCTTATAACCTAGAGGTAGAGAAGGGCTTTTTTATTTTTAAAAATGTCAAATCTATATTAAAGTTGAAAGAATAGTGCAACCCATGTATTCCCTTTACCTAGACTCAAAAATTCTTAATAATGGCTTTACCTCTTCCTACACACACACATACACACACACATAATTGTCTATTTACAGTTTTTTTTTCTTTTCTGAGGAAGATTCACCCAGAGCTAACATTTGTGCCAGTCTTCCTCTATTTTGTATGTGGGTCACTGCCACAGCATGGTTCCATGAGTGCCTTAGGTCCACACCCAGGAACTGAACCTGGGCCATCAAAGCAGAGCACACTGAACTTAACCACTAAGCTACAGGGCCAGCTGCTATTTACAATTTTTTCGCTGATCTGTTTGGAAGTAACTTGCAGACATTATGACACCTCAGCTCTAATTCAGCATGCTTCTCCTAAGAATATGGATATTCTCTTACCAAACACAATAACCATCAAACCTCTGAAAATTAACAATTCTGAAATTTAATGTTCAGTCGACATTTAGATTTTTCCAATTTTCACCGAAATGTCTTTTATAGTATTTTTTTAAAGCCAGGATCCAAACAGAGTTCACACGTTGCGTTTGGTTATTATGTCTCTTTAGTGTCTACTTGGGTCTCCTACTTTCATCGCCCATAATGCTGACTTTTTGAGGAGTCTTCTATTTGCTTGTTTTCTTATGGATGTCATTTAACTTTTCCTCTGTCTCATGTATTTCTCGTAAACTGAAAGTTAGGTGTTGAGGTTTGATTTAGATTCTGATTAACGTGGTGTTGAGGTTTGATTTAGATTCTGATTAATGTTTTTGGCAAGAGTACTTCATGGTAATGTTTGTACTTCATATTGCATCACATTGGGAGATAAATAACATCAGGCTGCTGTTAGTGTAGCCGTTTGAAAGACATGGTGCCTCAGTCACTCTGTTCAGTGTGTTTGATATCTGCTGAAAGTCCCTATTTTTAGAAAAATCTTGGCACACTTATCCTTGGTGAAGGAAATATATTAGGAAAATTATGGAATGTTGATTTGTTTGCACTAAAGGTATGATTTTTTAGAGGATATATATGTGGTCAGCAGGAGTAGGATCTGAATAGGTCTTTGGACAGAATACTCTTCAGATCTAAAATCTAAAATCGGGCCCATGTGCCTTCGACTGGTGTCTTCCATGTGGTGTTGAAGAGTTTGAGAAATTAAAAGAAATAGTGGTGAACAAGAAGCACTTTTTTTTTCTTTGTTCCTTTTTTTTCATTGGTAAGGGTGGTTATGAGATTCCTTGTTAATCATTTTTGTCATAAATGAGTCAAAGGTGGGGAACCAACATTTTAGTTTCTAGGTCTGCTTATATTTTTTATTCTGAGAGTAATATTTTGTTAATATATTTTAATATAAAACATGAAATGGTGCTTAAGTTATAACATATTAGCACCTCAAATATGGAATGAAGAGTAGAAAATAAATAATAATCAAGGACAATTAACACCTTAATAGCCTAATGTTAGATGATGAATTCTCATTTGTGGTGTTTTAGGCACAAAGATTTTTATCTTGTAGAACTTTGCAAGATTGGCCATTCTTAGTCACAAGAAAACCAACCATAAATTTTCCACATTTATGAAATCATTTTTCAGAACATCCATAAAACGTCTTTAGAAATTCCTGTAAATGCCTGTTAAAAGTTCATTAAGTTTGTTGTTTTTATCTTTTTCTCTAGACCACACTAGTGTGTAGAAGGGAAAAGTTATTAAGTTATTGCCATGGGAGTCCCTCTGAATTTCCTGTGGTAGAGAGAGATATCAACTTTGTACATAAACAAAATAACTCTTGTTTTTTTGCCTGCATGTCAAAACATTGAGTCATTTCACTGAAATCAGCTGGATTGGATGCTTTATTTTGAATGGAAACACTGTGAGATGGTAAAGTTTTTTTGCTGGTTTGCGTTTGTTTTGGAGTAATGTATACACAGCTTTAGGAAATAACTAAACAGAATTGAAGGAATCCAGTGGAATTGAGTCGTTCTATGCCAAAAATAAATAGAAATAATAATTTAAAAATATCTAAGAGAATATTAAACTTGATTGGAAATAATATGCGGAGTAGAAAAGAATGTAAGGAAGAGTGAAGTTAAATTAAAAAAAAAATAAAGGTGAATCCCTGTCTTCCAAATCAACTGCCCCTTAAACCAGTCTCATTTTCTCTGCGTTTTAGCCACACTCGCCATCCTGGTGCTGTTGAACACAGTTCTTATACTGCTTTGTCTTATGGCTTTCTCTCTAAAAAGTTCTTATCTTCCGTCTTTCTGATGTGTATCTTCTCGTCTTCCAGATCTCTGCTCACGTGTCGTCTTCTCAGACCCTCTCTGAGTACCCCGTCTGAAGTAGCACCCCCTCCGTCTCCATCCCATCAGCCTTTTTTAACTTCTGGCATTTCTCCCTTTATGAAGTTACCTTATACACTTATTTTGTTGTTTCTGTACTGTTTGTCTCTCTTCCGTAGAAATGTAAGCCCCAGGCCAGCAGGAACTTTGTCCGCCTTTTGTACGCCATCTGCAGCTCTTAGAACAATTTGTGGCATTTACCAGGCCCTCAATATTTATTGAATATTTATAAAGCTGCTATTTTTTGCTATATTGTTTTTGCCATATTGTGTAACTAGGGTTTTGTGGATTAACTATCATTTATTGTATTGTATCTATAGAAATATACCTTTTAAACTCCACATTAGAATGTGGTATTCTGAGAATATGTTTTATTTCATATCCCAACCACAAAGGGCTTTTGGAAATATAGATGTTTTTGTTCGTTTGTTTGTTTGTTTTGGTGAGGAAGATTGTCCCTGAGGTAACATCTGTTGCCAGTCTTCCTCTTTTTGCTTGGGGAAGATTGTCTCTGAGCTAACATCGGTTGCCAGTCTTCCTCTATTCTCTATGTAGGATGCTGCCACAGCATGGCTTGATAAGCAGTGTGTAGGTCCATGCCTGGGGTCTGAACTCATGAACCTTGGGCCGCCAAAGCAGAATGCGTGAACTTAACCACTACACCACGGGGCCAGCCCCAGGAAGAGTTCTTTTACCCTCCTCCTGCATGAGAATATGGCACTTGAGAATAATTCCTTTTTCTGAGGCTCATTCCTTTTCTCATAACCCATACTTCTCCTATTCCCTTGTCCTCTGGCAAACTAGTGGTCTTGCTGAGTTGAGGAGATGGCGATTGTGTTTTGGAGAGGCTCAGGCAGCTAGAAGTTGTGGAGTAGAGTACCAGAGAAGAGGGAGCTACTCAGAAAGACCTCCAGAAATCTGCGTGAGGTCCCCTTGAGTATGTGTTGAACATTAGGCTGTCCAACTGTGGGGAAATTCCACAAGTCCAGGCAAAATGACTGAGGAGTTGTAAGCTGAACAGTTCTCAAGTTCAGGCAGAGCAGAGGGCTGTTCAAGCTTCAACCAACCAGAGTGAAGAGTCTTTGGTGGTCCCCAGGGACATTCACTGGAGTCCCCTTTGTAGAACAGCTACGCTCTCCCTGGAGGAGACTGTGGGAGACCTTCCCTAGCAGAGCTTAGCAGGTTTTGAAGAGTTCAGACTGATACATGAGTTACATAACTACCTGCCAGAACAGTCAAAAATCTAACATTTACAAATATCCAACATCCAATCAAAAATTACTAGACATGCCAAGGAGGAAAAAACTGCCACTCATAAACAGGAGAAAAATCACTCAATAGAAGCAGACTCAGAAATGATATAGATGATGGCAGTAGCAGACAAAGAGGTTAAAATGGTGATATAACTATGTTCGAATGAATAAAAGGAAACGTGAACCTAATCAGGAGTGAAATGAAAGGTATAAACAGATAGAACATCTAGAGGTGAAAAATACAATATCCAAAATGAAAAACACACTAGATGGGATTAGCAGCTATGCTATTT